CTTTCTTTCTTTCTTTCTTTCTTTCTTTCTTTCTTTCTTTCTTTCTTTCTTTCTTTCTTCCTTCCTTCCTTCCTTCCTTCCTTCCTTCCTCCCTCCCTTCCTTCCTTCCTTCCTTCCTTCCTTCCTTTTTTGTGGGTTTCTCTGTGTACTTTTGGTGCCTGTCCTGGATCTTGCTCTGTAGACCAGGCTGGCCTCGAACTCACAGAGATCAGCCTGACTCTGCCTCCCAAGGGCTTGGTGGGATTAAAGGCATATGCCACTGTTTATGTTAATTATTCTTTAAAAATTTTGTATAATTTACCACTGAAATCATCAGGTTTGGGGTTTTTCTTTGTGGTAATTTTTTTTAGGGCAAAGGAAGGGTTAAGGCAGAGTCTTGTGTAGCCCAGGCTGACCTCAACTTCACCAAATAGCTGAGGATGGCCTTGAACTCTTGATCCTCCCACCTCAGCTTCCCCATTGCTCGGATTACAGGCACGGGACTCTGTCGTGCTTGAAATTTTGTTGTTAATAAAGGTTCTAATTTAATGTGGTGATATATTGTGTGCCCTAATAAAATTTGCCTGAAGATCAGAGGACAGAACAAGCCACTAGATTAAACATAGAAACATTTAATCCTAGCACTCGGGAGGCAGAGATCTATCTAGATCTCTGTGAGTTAATAGCCACCCTGGACTACATAAGATTGATTCCTAGGAGAGAAACAGAGCCAGGCAGTGGTGGCACACACCTCTAATCCCAGTACTTGGAAATCACACTCCTTTAATCCCAGCACCTGAGATCTCACACCTTTAATCCCAGTATTTGGGAAGCACACATGTCTTTAATCCCAGCACTAAGAAGGAAGTGATGGCTGGGCGGAGAAAGGTGTATAAGGCATGAGGAGACAGGAACTGAGGCCTTTTCAGGCTGAGGAGTCCTAGAGGTAAGACATGGCAGTGGCTTGTTCCTTTGTCTCTCTGATCTTTTAGCATTTACCCCAGTATCTGGCTCCTGGTTTTTTATTTAAAGACGATTTAGGAATTTGAGCAACAATTTAATCTCTTCATTTTTTTGTTTCACAATCTATTTCCTGGATAAGCTTTGTCAGTTTATGTTTTTCTAGAAATTATTCCATTTCATCCATGCTACCAACTTGTTGGCATGAATATGTTTACAGTATTCCTTTACAGTTATTTTATCTCTGCAAAGTTGAGCTTGCTCTCCTCTTCCATCATATTGTTAGTGGGAACATTCTTTTCTTCCCTTAGTCAGTCCAGCATAGGGATTGTCAGTTTTCATTTTTTTCCAAAAGAAAAGAACTTTTTTTTTTTATTAATTTTCTCTATTTTTCCCTATCCTCTGTTCTCTTCATTGCTACTCTGATTTTTATAATTTTTTCCTTCTGCTTGTTTTAGATTTTTCTCTCTTCTCCCCCTCCCCAGTTTCTTAGGCTGGAAGATGAATTATTGATTTGAGCTCTTTGTTTTTCTAAAGCATCAACGTTCACACTTCGATCTCTGCCAGCAGCCCCTTTGCTGAGTTCTGTAGTGTTGGCATGCTGTGTTTTCATTTATCATAAACCATTCGTAAACTTTTTCCAGGGTCATATTTCCTTGCTGATCTTTCAGAGTGCTTTTACATTTCAGTTCTGTGGAATTTTCTGTTCACCGTCTGTGTGATTTCTTAACACATGTGAGGACACGGTGTGATGCCAGTCCTTTTGAATGCCTGGAAACCAGTTTTATGGTTTTTAAGGGTAGATTTTGAATGCCTGGAAACCAGTTTTAAAGGGTAGATTAATGAACCTTCTTTAAAGAACAACTTGTTTAAAATGTTTTACATTGGTATAGATTTTAGATTATGTTTAAAATGTTTTACATTGGTATAAATTTTAGTTTATTGATACAAATTTAAAGTTAATTTTGTTATACT